TCCAGTGGCAGAATGACTCTGAACAAATGAGAACTGGTGCGAGTGTGAATGGCACAGCCACAGGACAGCATCTGGCAAAATAGGGACACTAAGTTACGTGTCAGCCTAATGCCCCAGCAATGGAACTCCTAGAGAAACCCTAAAAACCCAAAAGAATAGAAACAGAGTCTGGGTACAGTGGCTCATGCCTACAGTCTTAGCACTTTGGGAAGCCGAGAAGGATCATTTGAGGCCAGGAGTTTGAGACCAGCGTAGGAAACATAGCAAGACCCTATGTCTCTACAAAAGTAGTGCAGTGACATGTGCATGTCACTCAGCTACTCAGGACGCAGGAGGATGGCTTGAACCCAGGAGTTCAAGGCTGTGTGAGCTATAATTGCATCATTGCACTCCAGCCTGGATAACAGAGCAAGCCCTGTCTCTAAAATGAAAAAACGAAACAAAAAACAAAAAAGAGGAGAGCCACACAATGAATTCCTGTAAATAAATTTAAAACACGTATGTAGATAGAACAGCACAGCATAACTTCCTAGACTACATGAATAAATATATTTAAGTATAATTATATGTAATGTATAATTAACATATATTTAGCACATTGGTGTGGGCACTGACCATGAAGGTATAGCAAGTGAGGGAGCCCCATCCCTGGCCTTCAGGCCACTGAGGTGTGGAGGGCATAGGAATGAAGGGGAAAATTGGATGAAAGATGAGCTTTGTCCAGACTATTGACAGTGGGGTGAGCTCAGACATGTAACCAGCTCTGCCTTCTGCACTGAGGCTTTCTTGCTAGTTGGTCCCCTCAAAGAGCATTTCTCACACTGACAGGTGTCCCAACTAGCTAGGCCCCATCCCATAACCACAAACTGGAGCCTCTCAGATCTTTGTTAGTGTTCAGGTGATTCCAATCCCCAAGAGAGGGTGAGAACCTGTTATAGGAGAAGAGGGGTACCTGCGGGCTGAATTATGTCTCCTCCCAACTCATATGCTGAAGTTCTAACCTAGTGTATCTCAGACTGTGACCTCATTTGGAAAGATGGTTGCTGCAGATATAACTTGTTCCGATGAGGTCCAACTGGAGTAGGGTTGGCCCCTGATCTAATAGGTCTGGTGTCCTTACAAAAAGGGGAGATTTAGACACAGAAACATGCATGCAGGGAGCCAAATGAAGATGAAGGCAGAGATTGGGGTGAAGCTTCGACAAGCCAAGGAACCCCAAGGATTGCCAGAAAGGCTGCAGAGAGGCCTGGAGTGGATTCTCCCTCATGGCCTTCAAAAGAGACCACCCTTGCTAACACCTTGATCTTGGACTTCCGGCCTCCAGAGGTATGAGAATGAATTTCTGTTGTTGAAGCTGCTCAGTTTGGGACACTTTGCTATGGCAGTCCTAGGAAACCAATATAAATCAGCCCCTCTCTGGGGTGTGTGTGAGGCCTTGATTGGTGTTTGGAGAATAGCCAGGCCCCTCCCTGTCCCAGGCTCAGCTGCCTCCTAGTTTAAGCAGCAAAGACACAGTAAATCTGTGGCTGTTCTCACAGTAAATCAGGGTGTCTTGGACTTACCAGACAAAATCCCAGGCCTAGATATTCTCAGCATGGCTCTCATGGCTCTCTGCAAAGCCGACAGCTCATTCCAGTAAGCACGGGAGGTGAGGAGGAAACGCTGTTTGAGCCTCCCTAGGAAGATTCTAGCTCAACCTCCACCTGAGAGCTTCCAGAACATTATCCCCTGTTCTACCTCTGTGACAGAAAGAAATACTTCCAGTGCTGTTGGCAGAGGCTCACTGTGCCCTGGGCAGAGAGCCCCATCCTCCTGTGTATCTAGAGAAAGCTGGCTCAGTGGCTTTGGGATCAAACATGCCCAAGGCAAGTCTATTCCTTCCTAGCTGGGTGCCCCAGGCAAACTACTTAACTCCTCAGTTTCCTCATCTGTGTAAAGATGATAATCGGATTGCCTGATAGAACCATTGTGAGGATCAAATCAAATAATGCTATGCTTTCAGCCCTTTTTCCATGTCTGGTTCCAGCTAAATGTGATTGTATCAGGAAGCTGAAGACCTCAGGCTTCCTGGGGGATGGGGCTCTATCTCTGGCCAGTCCTGCTCAGTGGCCCGAGGGCCGGGGGTGGGGCTCCTTGTCTCTGCAGATCAGCAATCAGGATAATTTTGGAAGCCTGGTGGTGATTTCACCTGGCAGGGCTGTCAATAGCCTGTATCACTTGTGAAGAAAAAGGTCCCTCAGCCTTTGGCTGACATTATGGGCCCTCTATTCCCAAAGATTCAGATTTGCATCCTACATAAACAGGGTGGCAGGATCCACATACGCAAGAGCCTGGGGGTTCCTGCAGCCGTCCCTCAGGAACCTTGTGGCCCATACCAAGACTAAGACTGGTGATCTCTACCTGCCACCTAGTCTCACCAGGCAGAGGCCGAGTCTCCTTGGGTCCAGGACAGTGGGCTGCTGAAGGCAGATTGGAGGTGCTTTGGGCCCCCCAGTTCACCCACATTCTTTCCCCCCAGTGTGTGCCTGCTGTTTACCAGCCTTCAGCCTATCATCACTCTGGACCAGTCTTCACTCTCAGGGCTGGGCGTCAGAGTCTTTCCCCTAGGTTTTCTATTCTTAACACTTCTCTTGGGCCCCAGTTGCTCTTGACCTCAGCAGACCCCAGCTCCTGGGACTCCACCTTGGTGCCGGCAGCCCTGGCTCCCGCCCCTCTTTCTGGCGCTGCCTCCACGCCCTTGGCTCCCACCAGGAGGCATTAAGCTAATCAGGCTGATGGCCCAGGTTCAATTCCATTGTCCCTGGCTACAACGCACAGTAAATTTCCTTAGCCTCCGACTCCCCTGTGAGCCCTGCCTCTCGCCAGGCAGCCTGGCTTAGGCAGCCGCCAGCTCCCCCACTTGCTGTATCATCACTGATGAATCAGGTCTGCCCAATTTGGGGGTGTAATTTAAACACCATCTACAGAGTCACGTCTCCCTCAGCAGCAAAACACGATTGATCACGTCTCCCCAGGTCTAGCATGATCTCTGGGGTACTAAATCCCAAGACCCTTAACTGTTATCCATGAGGCCATATTCTAATTCTGCCAGAGATCTGAGTGTGACAAGATTCTTTGGAAAATGATTTCCATCATCTCTATACATTTTGAGGGCGGGCTGGTAGTATTAGTCTTATTTGTCAGCAGATGGTCCTTGAATCTCCAGGCTCATTGCATTCTTGCCCCTCCCCCAGGGTGTCTGGCAACTCAGGATGACCTGAAAGGACTCAGAGAAGGAGAAGGAGAAAGATCAAGATGCTGTGTTTGTTCTCAAAGCCAGGCTCCCCTCCCCCAGGGATGGAGAAAGGAGCTCTGCTGGCCATTCCTTTTGTCTCAGTCCCTTCCAGAAAGGGAGAGGCTTGGCTGTAATACAGGAGGAAGAGGAAGTTATGCTGTATGGGAGCCTGAACTTGAGTCTGTGGCCCACAAGGGCCGGTGCTTTCCATGGAATCAGGGAGAAACATGCAAGAAGCAATTAGAGAGCAAGTAAGAATTTGATTATGTCACGTTGATACAAGCCCCAAAGGAGCACCAGGACAGGATGAATGTGACAGGAGGTGTCTTTTAAGACATGGTTGAGGTGGATTTTAATTTTATTAGTAGCGTTCATAGCATCTTATATGCACCAGTCACAGGGGACTAACCTCACCTCGCCCTCAAGCGGACAAGGGGAAATGGTGAATGAAATGAGAGAAACATACAAGGGCTGTATCAGGGAGGGCTTCGTGGAGGAAGTGGAATTGGAGTTGTAGAATGGGGGTGGCGCCTGTGGCTCAAGGAGTAGGGCCATATACCAAAGGTGGCGGGTTTAAACCTCAGCCCTAGCCAAAAAAAAAAAAAAAGAGTTGTAGAATGGGTCAGGTTCTAAAGAGGAAGATGTGGGAAGGTGAGGATAAAGAAGCTGCTGAGGATAGTTGGTGGCAGTTCAGCGATCCACACGGTGGGGCATGTGTGGGAGGAGAGATGGAGCCAGGAGAAGAAGGAGGGGAGGAGAGCCCTGTGGATCCCAGGGACTTTGAAAACCATGCTGAGAAGTAGTTTTTGCTTTAATCAGAGGGCAAGAGTGTCAGTGTTTTGAGCAGGCGAACAGCATAATTGGGAAGGAGACAGTGGGCTGCAGGAGGAAGCAGTGATTAGTACCAGGACAGGCCATAGGGAGAGCAGCTGTGAGGCTGGGGGACATCACAGGCTGGGCCTGAGGTGATGCCCTGAATAGACCCATGGGTGTGGGCAGGAGCAGCACCAAAGGACATTGGTGACTGGGCAGCACAGTGCAGGTAGTCAGTGTGAGCCCAGAGGGGTGGTCCCTGAGTTCTTTTTTGCCTTTAGGCCCCTGCTGGCCCCTCCTGTCTGTGACTGGGTGTATCTGCCTCCAGCCATCTTTTGGCATCTCTGTGCATTTGGATTTCCCTGTTTCTGCAAAGTGACAGGCCTTCCTTCCAACTTGAGCAGGAGAGGAAAGAAGAGACTTAAGAACGAAGGTCTGCAAAGAGAGAATTGCGAAGAAGGAAGCTGATGCAACAATAGCTAATGTTCTTTCTCTCCTTCCCTCCCACTCTCTTTCTTTCTTTTAGAACTTTTTATATGCCAGACTTGGTTCCAAGCATTTTACAAGGATTAACCCAATTTATCCCAAGAGCAACCCCACAGGGAAGACGTGTAACTGATGGGCAAAGATACATGCTTGACCACCAGACTCACATCTTCTAGTGTCAGCTTCATAAGCTGGGCTTCTAGCCTCAGCTTCTACCCTCTAGCTACATAATCTTAGGTAAATTACTGGATGTCTGTTTGCCTCATTTGTAGACTAGGAATGATGAATAGTGCTTGGCATGTGGTAAGTGGCCATTCATCTCTTATAGATGGGAGAATAGAAGCTTGGAGGGAAGAAATTACTTTTCCAAGCTCACTGAGAGCTGGCTCTGGGAATCCCATGCATTTGGCCACCCTGTTCTGCCTCTCTATCCTGCAGATGAAAAAGCAGGAAAGGTGTGAGGTGGACAATGTAGTTTCCCAGACAGGATGTGGGGAAACTGAACTGCCTCCTCCCATGGCCACAGATGCCTGGGCCTGTGGGAGGCAGGATGCAAGTCTGAAAGTGAAGGCATGTGGATTCAGCCCAGTTTTAGAAGTTGAGGATTAGGAAGGCAAATATGGGAATGAATCAAGTATAGCTGAAGATTCCTGGTGGGGGGAGGCCAGGAGGGAATGGCTGAGAAGTCAGCCACTGCCTGCAGATGCTCACAGTGTCCACGAGGGGGTAGCATAGTCTAGGCTCTGTCTTTGGTTAAGCTTTAGCGGTGTGGCCCTTGGGAGAGACCTAGAATAAAATGAATCCTGAGCAGCATGACCAGAATCAATAACACGTCCTAAAAATGTTAAGAATGACAGCAATGATGGGGACTTTAGAAACAACTTACTCCTTATTCAGCAGAGGGCAAGACTGAGTGCGAATGATCAAATGATTTTTTTCCCCAAATCTAGCCCACAGAGTTCAAGTTGGAAATAGAGCCCAGATCTCCAAATCTTAGGTCTATGGAAAGAAACATCATCCCATTGCCAGAGGGAGGACTTGGAGAACTTGGTTCTCTATAGTAGAAAATGAGACCCTGCCTTATGTGTGTATGTGGGCCTTATCTCCGCTCCTGGCATCCTCTGGGGCCAGTAGGTGCTGCTGGTGATGCTCAGTAACAGTCCCCTTCCTGGCTGCAGATGTCCCTCTTGCCATCTTGTGACCAAACTCATCAGACTCTGTGTTCTGGAGGAGAGAGAGCCTGGCAGGTTAGAAACAGGAGCTTGCATAGGGAAGCAACTGGGGACCATCACAATTGTAAACAAATTGATTTTATTGTTTATAAATATATATTATTAATATTTAGTAAGGAAAACCCAAAACCCATAAAAATAAGAACTTTAGGCTAGGTGCAGTAGCTCATGCCTGTAATCTTAGCACTCTGGGAGGCTGAGGTGGGAGATTGCTCAAGAGTTTGAGACCAGCCTGAGTAAGAGGGACAACGTATGTCTATTAAAAATTGAAAAACTAGCCAGGAGTTGTGGTGGGCACCTGAAGATCCAGCTACTCAGGAGGTTGAGATAAGAGGATTACTTGGCCCAAGAGTTTGAGGTAGCTGTGAACTATGACATCACAGCACTGTACAGAGTGACAAAATGAGACTCTGTCTCAAAAAACAAAAGAACTTTAAACACACTCATAATATTGTATACTTTATATACTCTTATATGGATGTTTCTATGAAAATGGGATGCAGTAATTCTTAGAAGAGTATGTTGTAAAATGTAAAGTGCAACCCAATCTTGAGGGTCCACTGGTGGATCAGAAATAAGCTGGTGGGGGAACTGTCCTTGGTGCTGAACACGGGAAGGTGTGAGGAACAGGGAGGCTTGTTCCTGACACTGTGACAGAGTCCGTTGGAGTCTCCATGGTGTTTCTATTTGAGAGTTTCCCAGCACTGTTGTCTTTATTCTCTGTCTCCTTTGTAAGTTCAGGGGTTGCTTTTCATCAAGTCCCTATGGAATACTCTCAATGGGGAAATGTTAGCTTAGCAGAACTGAGGTCTCCTCTCCAGGACTCCAGAGCTCTTTGTGAAACTGCCTGTGTCTTATAATGCTGTCATTGTCACCTGAGGCCTCTGAATTTGGATCTGAAAAGAGAGAAAAAACTAGGTGAGGACTGGGTTTAGAGGAACTTTGGGTTTTGGAAGCTTGTCCTGTTACCTGGAGTCTAGCACAAACCAATTATGTCTTCCCCTCTCTGGCAGGTAGGTTTACAGGTGTCTTCACTAGAGGATGTCACCTTTCCTCCAAGACTCTCTCTAGGGGGGATAGCACCTGACACTGATCACACTTGGTAATTCTTCTGCTCTCATATATCCATACAGTTGAAATAATATTAAGGCAGTAATTAAGAAGTGGTCACCCTTTACCCAAGTGACCAGTCTTGGCCTTATTCATAGCAGGACAACCCAATGTTATGTACATCTTCAGGTGATGTAATGGCATTATCTATGACACAACAAAATTATTTTATCTGATTCTAATCAGCCTCTGGACCTGACTTCCAGTGTATAGGAAATACAGAGGATTGAGGGACAAGTTAAATGACACCATGAGGAAGTAATCAGACAAATTCCTCAAGAGAATCATCTTTAGATTCTTTTAAATTTTTTTAATATATTTAAAAAGGGTGGAGCCCATTCTAGATTAAAAGACCAAAGGGACATAACAAAAGTCAGTGAGTAAAATTTGCATCTTTTTCCAGATGTATCTGAAAAAATACATCTAGTAATAATTGATGCCCTAGGTCTAATTGGAAAATTAGAAATCAGATGATATTGTGAAATTTTTTTTTTTTTGAGACAGAGCCTCGAGCTATCCCCCTGGATAGAGTGCTGTGGCATCACCGCACATAGCAACCCCCAACTCCTGGGCTCAAGCGAGTCTCCTGCCTCAGCCTCCCAAGTAGCTGGG